CAGAAACAAAAAATCTAATGTAGCTGCTTTTGTCTACGCATTTCTCCTCATTTTGAAGAAAAACCAGATATCTCACGCAAACCAAAAACCGAGATTTCCCATTATCAATAATTATATTGAACGCTTCACCAAAAGTTCAGCTAAATAACTCTTTATTCACATTAAGAACAAAATTAGTCGCTGGAAGCGATTTTGCCACGCTCCAAATTCGGTCATAAACCAAATCATCACAATCATTTGAGATACAGCAATCGCCAGAGTGGAATTATTAAGTCATCACATACAGTTGGTACTGGTGTTAAGAAAACGAAAAGTAAGCACATGAATGGACAATAACATGTTTTTGAATACTTTCGAGTACACTGAACATTGTAATTTAACATTATAACTACACTTTATCATTTAGGCTAATCAGCGGAGCTAATCTGTTTTCGCTCCACCTCTTGGGTAGTACTTCTCAAGTGTGCTTTCGGGAATTCGCTTAAGCATTTCTCTCGGGAAAATACGGAGAAGCTGCCATCCTATATCCAACGATTCGAAAACAGTTCGGTTCTCGTAGTTTCCTATGACGATTTCAATCATATAAGTAATGAGCATAAGCACTTGAGGGACTCACCTTGTGAGATGAAGTTCTTTTCGAATTTGACTAAGAATTCTAGATAAAGGAGATCGTCAGACGACAGAGCTTCCTCTCCTACGACAGCCTTCATAGCTTGCACATCCTTTCCAATAGCGTAGCAAGCGTACAACTGCAACAATATCGGAAAATGTCTTATTGAAAAACAACGCAAAATTGCTGATACCTGATTAGAAACATCTGAATGATCTTCGCGAGTCATACCCTCACCAATAGCAGATTTCATCAAACGTGAAAGCGATGGCAATACGTTGATAGGTGGGTAAATCTAAATATCGTCAATAACGTTGAGAACACTGAGACTTAAAAAGAAAATAACACAATGAACCCACCTGTCTGTTATGAAGCTGACGGTCAACGTAGATTTGGCCTTCAGTGATGTACCCAGTGAGATCAGGAATAGGATGAGTGATATCTGAATGGCCATAGGTGAATCGAGAGATATGAGAGTGATGAGAACTATTATCTCCAGACTTTTACTAACACAAGCTACAGATGTGCAATACATGAAATATCAACTAACCGTCGTTGGGCATAGTAAGAATAGGGATTTGAGTGATGGAACCGTCTCTTCCTTCTACACGACCAGCACGCTCGTATATAGTAGCCAAATCAGTGTACATGTAACCTGGGAAACCACGTCGTCCAGGTACTTCTTCACGAGCAGCAGAAACCTGTGACAAGCAAGCCATAGACAAGGTATTCAAAGTTTGTTAACGTTGAAAAGCGAAAGACAGATAGCTTTGGCCTATTGGCAATTTAGCAACGGCTATGAGCTTTTGAGACCGCAGCATGAACTTCACGAGACTTCAAACTCTTGAAAAGGCTTATTCCAGTTGATTGAAGCATCATTACACTAGGTGAATAACTGCTACCTAAAGTCTCACCAAAGGCGGTGTAACTATGTAGCCTCAGAGCTATATGTTCCAACAATTTCTCAGCAAAAACGCTAAAATTCGCCAAACGACCTTTGTAAAGAGGCGAACTTGAATAATTACCTCACGTAGAGCTTCAGCGTATGAAGTCATGTCAGTAAGTACGACAAGTACGTGTTTCTCGCATTGGTAGGCGAAAAACTCAGCTGCAGTAAGAGCGAGACGAGGTGTGATGATACGTTCAATTGTTGGATCATTGGCCAAGTTAAGGAAAAGACATACATTCTCCATGGATCCTAACAAAAATCTAGTCTTAAAGCTTGTACATATACGAATAACCAGAAATTCACCATTCTCTTCAAAATCTTGCTTGAAGAAGCGAGCAGTCTCCATGTTAACTCCCATAGCAGCAAACACGATGGCAAAGTTCGAGTCACCAGATTCATGCTTATTTTCAGGAAGCTGTACGAGGCCTAGACAGAATTATTAACAGTCACTCGGCATCATCATGCTTAACGAGCAAAAGCTCACCTCCTTGACGTACAATCTGAGCTGCAATTTCATTGTGGGGAAGACCGGCAGCAGAGAAGATAGGAATTTTCTGTAAAAGGATGAATACCTTTTTGTTCCTTTCAAAGACGGAACATTATAAAAATTCATACGAAGGGAAGCGGTGTATTCTAAAGATCTTACCTGACCACGAGCGATGGAGTTCATGACATCGATAGCAGAGATACCGGTTTGAATCATTTCTTCGGGATAGATACGCGACCAAGGGTTGATGGGTTGACCATTAATGTCCAAGAAATCTTCTGCCAACACAGGTGGTCCCTTAAAACGCTTTTGCGAAGGGTGCTATCGTCAGTAGAAGTAGCGAAATAACCTTATCAATAGGCTTTCCTGATCCGTTGAAGATACGACCAAGCATATCTTCTGATACGGGTGAACGAAGAATATCACCAGTGAACTCGCAGATAGTGTTTTTGGCATCAATGCCAGAGGTTCCTTCGAAAACCTGACAAAGACATTGTCGTTGGTAAGTGCTTGCATCTTAAATTACATATTAACTAAACCTGGACAACAGCCTTGTTTCTTGTGATCTCGAGAACCTGTCCAGATCGCTTTGTACCATCTGGCAACGTGAGAAGGACGATCTCATTGAATTGCGGGAATTTGACATCGTTGAGGATTACCAGTGGTCCATTTACACCACAGACAGTTTTGTAAACTGCAAATAGAATAAACATCTTTGGGATTTTTCTTTGAAAAACGGGCTTCAAGAGGGTTTCAAGTAAAGATATAATCTTCATAGAGCCTATCACTACTAATTT